TCTTTCCCCGGAAAAAATTTTTGCGGGGTCTCAAAATTCAAATTCCCTCCATCGCCAGGCGCGCTATTGACACGCATGAGAGACAAGAGACGCAGACTTTCTTCTGAATTCGGATAAGATTCGTTTTCATGTTTTTAAGCTCTAAACATGTCGTTTGTACGAAATATCTCAGATTATTTTAACAAAATCGATAAGTGAGTTCAATCAGGTGACTTGAAAAATCCTTCAATGTGTATAAATTACAGTCTTTGCTACAATCAAAGTTGGGAATCAGGAGATAAAATTGCAAAGTACCTTTCCCTCAATGATGATCACTCAAAAGAAGCATATTTGCATGTGAGAAAAATAGAAAATCATTATTGAAAATCTCATAATTTTAGATTTCGGAATACGGATCGACATCCAGACGCTGCAGAGTCTCTGAAGATGAAATTATCGATGAAATCGTCTGCCTCCATCTTCATGTACTTCACAGTGTTCATGTGGCGAAGGATTTGATTTCATCCCAATCAACCCAAATTCGGGTTTGTTTTCAGATAAATCTTATGGTCTCAACAATCGATTATTTTCAGATCATCCAATTATTCAACAAAGAGATTCTTCAAAAACGAAAGGATGAGAACTGGTTTTTACCAATTTTCTATCGCTTGTGCACAGACTTGCGATGGCTGAGTAAGGGAGCGGAGTCTTGTGCGTCTGGAGACGATGAAGGAGATTCAAATGCGAATTCCTTTTTTGAGAGCGCTGCCAAAGCAATCACCGAATGCTACCGAACTTGCGTATCTGATGTGTTAGTTATTATTTGGATTCTGATACTTTTTAATAAAGAAAATTTTTTCAGACACGCCGAAGAAGGAAAAACGAAAAAAGTGGCGATGTTGAACATGACCAATCAACTTTTCCAGATCTACTTCCAGGTTTTCATAAGTTCTCCGTCAAAGTCGTAACTATATTTGTTCAGATTAACAAACTGAACCTGCTGAAACCACTGATTCGTGCTATAGATAACTGTGGCCCACTGTACAACAAATTCCTGATGGCTGATAAAGTAGCCTACAACTACTTCTTGGGTAGAAAGGCACTTTTCGACGGGGACTTGATATTAGGTAATCCTTCACTTTTTCTACTGAACTAATAAAAGCTGATTTCAGCCGAAAAAGGATTGGTATATGCGTTCAGAAACTGTCCAACTGAAAGCGTTTCAAATAAGCGGAAAATTCTTGTTTATTTGATTCCTGTAAAAATGTTCCTTGGGCATATGCCAACCGCATCTCTTCTCCATCGGTACCGCCTTGACGAATTCCAAGAGGTTGTTGCAGCTGTTAAAGGTAGTTTATCAGATTCCAAACTATTTTTTTTCAAATAAATATGGGTTTGCAGATGGTCACTTAGGCCGCGTCGACAATGCGCTTCTCACGAACGGAGAGTTCTTCATCAAATGTGGAATCTATTTAGTACTTGAAAAGTTGCGCACGATCACTTACAGAAACTTGTTCAAAAAAGTGTGAGTTACTTCTAGCATTTGTACGCTGAAGCTTTTTTGAAACATTTTTTTCAGGAGTCAAATGGTTGGAAAAGTTCAAATCCCACTCGATGCTTTCCAAGCAGCACTTCGATTCGTGGGTGTGACTGATGTTGATATGGATGAACTTGAGTGCATTATTGCAAATCTCATTGCAGAAGTAAGAATATAATTAAAGAATAAAGTTAATCCGTTTTTTGTAGAAGAAGGTGAAAGGGTATCTGGCTCATCAACATCAGAAGCTAGTCATATCGAAGACGAATGCTTTTCCAACACTGTCTTCCGTTTCCTCAAACTAAATATATTTTTGTTGTTTTTCTTAATATTCATCTTTGCTTATTTATTTGTTCAATTTTTTCCTGAGAATGAATCGGAGTTTTGACATGTTTGGAATTTTCGTATACAGTAGTATCGAAAAGGGGAACACGAATTTTGCGCAGTCTCTCGATACGAAAGAAGAATTTTCGCTGCGCGCCTTTAAACTACAGTAGGGTGGGCTATCGACTTTGCTCGATTGTTTGCACTTTGTTTCAATCAAACTAAACACAGGTTTGATTGGAAAAGTTCACAACATGGTTATATTGTTTTTGCGACTCGAATCCAGATGATTTCTATAACTTTAATTGAATTTGCAGGCGTCTTGAAGGTGGCTGGAAAAATGACTCAACGCCAAAAAGGACTCGCTTTTGTCAATGCGCGTAAGTTATTACAAAAAAAAAAATGAAAATCCTGAAAAAGTGCTGAAAAAATAGGATTGTTGCTGAAAATTGTTCATCTCCCAACGAAGATTGCCTTTTCTTTCTTTTGAATTTTCTTCTCATTTCTTTTTTTAATCGGCTTCCTCATATCGGATGTCAGAAATAGCGACTGAAATTATAAACCGGAAAGCCCTTTGTCAGAGATAATTGCTTTTTCTGAGTGGAAATTGTAGAAAAAAATTAGTTGCGGTGAATGTCCTGAGAAAATTTTCTTCACTTTTTATAAATTCTTGAGAGACTCTGAAAAGTTACAATTTCACTCACAATTTTCCGACACATTCGTTTCCAATTATAACTTTCAGACGTTGCTATTTTTAACGGAAAACATGAAAACAACTTAATTAGGTGGTTCCAAATAAATTTTTGAAGCGGTACAGAGCCTAAAATTAACGCTTTTGTTTTTCAAAAGTTGGAACCCCCAATTCGTGAGAAAAATATCTCCAACACTCTCCCCGTAAATATTATTTCTAGCAGCTTTCATAATTTTTCACTAGAGCGGCATATGCATATAAATAAAAGTGAAGCTTTTTTTCGAATGTTTTAAAAGAACTACAAATAAGCAAATAAGACTTCCAGGAAGACATAGAATTCTTAATGGACATGGAAAGGGGAGAATTATATTCACTTCTCTTCGTCGCGCTCTTACGTCTCATCATAAATATTCAAACTGACTGATCATGCTCTAGTTTTATTTTCCCCACTCATCTAATTCGCATTAATTCTACCTGAGACTTTCTCACGTTTTTTCGATATATTACATTGAAATTTTGGAATAGTTAATGGCCTAATTTCCCTTCATAGTCCGTACACCTTGTTGAATAAAGTAAATCCTTATACAAATATTAATACGCTAGGTCAGTGTGTCCCTTTTCATGACTTTTGGTTTATCATACACCACCAACGTTTATTCAAGTTTCTTTTTCCAAATATAGCTATTTTGAAAGCATTGAAAATCTCAGGAATCTTGATTTTACAGAAGCAAACAACGTCAAAAAGATAGCAGTGATGGCGAGCACAGTTGCATTTGAGTTCAACAAAGCAACTCTGAAATTGAGGTTTATATTCATCTAAAATTTCAAATGTTTTGTTTTCCCTTTAGAAGGAGTCTCCATATATCACCCAGGAATTCGCCTGAAGTTCAGAGAAAATCAGATGTCGGAGACATTGAAATCGAATCACCGGGAAGCACGCAGAGGTAGAACTTTTTTCAAGTACATCTGAAGCATACTGTTTATTTTCAGCACATCACGAAAATGCTCAAAACGTAATCGACAGCTGTGCGCAGAGCTCTCTTCTTTTGCACTATATCCTCTCTTCGGCGCCCTCTCTCCATCTCATTTTTCATCGCCAAACCTTCTATTTCAAAGCAATAAAAAGCCACCTAAAAAGGTGGTCGAATTTCTACAGTTATCCGACACGGACATGTATCAAGTCATGTGTTTTTTGAATCGTAGGTCACCTAGAAGAACTTTCATAATTAACCTGTTTTTTTTTCAGCCAGATCACTGTTGAATCTGTCTCAAACGTGTGGCCGTCTACGGCAACTCTGTCTGGCCAATGAAGAAAATATTGAAAAGATAGATGTAAGAATATGAAATTTTTGAAAAATGAACCATAGATAAGTTCCAGGTTACTTCGCATGAAATAGTAATTTCATTCAATCAAGTCCGGCGTCAAACTGAAGTCCGTTTGCTGAAAAGAGAAAGAACGCGTTCTGACCCTCAATTCACATGTTCAAATATCCGAGGTCTTCTGTCACCTTTCTCTCGTGCTCTAACAAAAGTATCACTCGTGCTATTTTATTAATTAAATTCAAAAAATATTCAGATCACATTCGAAACAACTGTATTTGTAACTGATTGGCTTGAGGAAATCCTTGATCTGCATAGAGAAAACCGCCTGATTCCTTTAAGTCTTGTTTTCACAGGAGGTGCTCTAACGAAAGGAAAACAATTAACTGGAGCTGATTTACGATCAATTACTGAAGCTAAATTCATTGATTTTGTCTCAACACTGCAACCTCATTTACAGGAAGTTCAATTGAGCACTTCAAGGTAATTCAAATGTTAAAGTTTTTGATATTTCATGATCATCATTCCTTTAGGATTTTCAAAGTGAGCAGCAATCCACCTCGCCTTCTTTCTATGATTACAATGCTGTCAAGTTTTGGAATCGTCTACGAACGACCTCCTGTCCACTTCTACCATCAAGATATTTCAGAAGCCGTCACGGTTAGTTTTGACCTTGATTCCCTACATGACTTTTTGTTTCAGTTTTGGCGCACGGATTCCCTCTCCAGAAATTGTGACATTTTCATGCGTCGGCCCCATGATATCTCTGTCGAAGCGTGGCAGAAGCTGAGTGGGTCAATAGAGGAAAGCCGGATCGACCCATACACAGATGAAGTTCTTGTTTCGAAAATCACAATCAAACACTCTTTCCTTGTACATATCGACTTAGTCTTCCATTTTCATTGACGTCTCAGAATTTCGAATTTGCTATATACGTCTTTGCCATTCCTTGTACCATATTCATTGATCTCTACTTGATTGAAATTGTAAAAATACCATATATCGCATTGGATTGATAAACGTTTTATGTACCGTTTGTTGAGGCAAATCATCATTTCTTAATTTCAATATAATATACAAGCAGTTGTTCAAAAGTAATCAAAACATCAAATGTATACAGATGAAAGTGACTATTCTGGAGAAACAGATGACGGTGGTAGTACGATTAGAAGAATGAGTCCGAGTACCAGAGAAAGTAATCGTTTGCACGTGTTCCGCTTGTATGAAAGAGTGGGAGCGGTGGAAGAGAAACGCCGGTGGCCGTGGCCGAAGGTTCCACAACGAAAACTACCGTAACCTCAAAACATTTTATTTTCCGGATTTATCATCTCGATTTTTGTGCGTTTTAGCTAACTTTTTCATTTTTGTCTTTTTTCGGTGAAAAAACTCGCAAAAAAGCAGTGAAACCCGTGAAAATAAATCCTGAAATCGAATAGGTTACTGTAGTTGTCGTTGTGGGATTTTCGACCACCTGCGTTTCTCATCCACAGCCCCTAATTTTTGTACCAGAATAATATATCTTTTAACTTATTCTCACAGATTTTCGTCAAAATGTGAATGCAGTTGTCTGTCTGTCGGCTGCTGTCACTTTGCTCGCTTTCAATTTCGTTGGCGGTCTCATTTTCCTGTTAGCTGAAAAAGGATGGACAGAAAATCCAGGGGTTTCCGAGGATGATCAATTCTCAGAATGTCTGCGATTCATTCCAATTGGCTCAAAAATTACTGTGGAAATGAGGAAAAATGCGGAAAACTGCTTGAGGAAAGATTCGGCAATCGATGATTTTGGGAAAGCTCTCTACTTTTCATGGACCCTTTATTCAACTGTTGGCTATGGAAATTTAGTAAGTTTGAAAAATGAAATAGATTATTTCTTCGGAAGTAATTCATTAGAATTCATGAAACTACCGTAAAACCTGTAATAGAAGGGACGTCTAACTTCTAACTTTGTGTCAATTTAACTTTTTTCTTGTAAACGTTATACAATATATGGGTCAATTGAGAGATTGCTTATCATAAAATCACAAAATTTTATCATTTGTCAAAAATTTGATATCTTCCATAGGAACCAAGAAAAATCAGCTCAATCGTGACAATGTGGGGTCCTTCATTTTTACGCTATCAAGATTTGGGTTTCATAAACAAGGAGATACGGATGGGTCTCCTAACTAATTGTCATAATCATAACTCTTTGAAATGAGCGGAGCTTACTTGGTCTACACAAGACTCCTGAATATTTGAAATCATATTCTTTTTTCTCTGTGAAAACCAAGCACTACGTCTTCTTTCATTCCAGTATCCACATTCGCCACTTGGAAGATTTCTGACAGTTGTCTATTCCCTTTTCATGATTCCCATCTATATCGCATTTAAGTTTGAATTTGGAACATTCCTAGCTCATGCCTTGGTTGTTGCATCGAACCGAGTTGCCGTCTTTACGAAAAAGTTGTTTCAAACGTAAGTGGTTTCAGACAATTGAAATTTGGAATATCATTCTATTAGGTTGGCGGGAAAGTCTTTGTCACTCTGTTTGTTTAATCACTGTTCTCGTATATGGAGGCTGTGTATGATATCGACTCTAGTGAATAACAAGGTGATAAGAACCTTCCATATAAACAAGTCCCCATCTCCTTCCCTGCTCCTCATCTGTAATTGAAACGATATGTTTGTTCCCACTGCTATTCACATCAGACATGTTTTGATTTACCTCTTCCTATCTCACACCACGATGAAGGATTCGGAAACTTTCTTGAAGAATGTGTACAACACACATGCCCCTCACTACAATACTATTCGCAATTGGTTCCATCGTTTCGAAAAAGATGACTTCTCGCTCGATGAAAAGGATCGCTCTGGGAGACCCCGTGAGTTGGATTTGGACAAGCTGAAGCACGCATTGCAATCGGATCCATTTCAATCTAGCCGTGAACTAGCTGTCACATTCGGAGTTCACCATAGCACAGTCCTTGAAGGTTTGAAGTCTCTTGGAATGAGAAAACTTTTTGGTCGATTCATACCTCATCACCTGACTCAAGCCAACCTTGACCGCCGAGTCGACGATTCGATTACTCTTCTCACTCTCCACGCGGGCGATCGATGGCTGGACCGGCTAATAACCGGAGATGAGAAGTGGGTCTTCTACGATAATCACCACAGGAAATCCCAGTGGGTTGGAGAAGGAGAGAGCCCACAGGATGTCCCAAAACCCGACCTTCATCCGAAAAAAGTTATGCTCTCTGTGTGGTGGGGAGTGGACGGCCCCATCTACTGGGAACTTCTGCCCGAGGGCAAAACAATAACTGGAGACCTCTACACTACTCAACTACGAAACCTCAAGAAAGCAGTCGACCGTTCGGCCCTGAAAGACAAGAAAGTGTACTATCAACATGATAACGCTCGCCCACATGTTTCGAAACAAGTGAAGCAGGAGCTGATGGGATATGGATGGAATGTTCTCCCTCACCCCCCGTATTCTCCTGATCTTGCTCCTTCCGACTATTGGTTATTTGGCGATATGACACGTGCCTTCGAAGGAAGAAGCTTCAATTCCCGTGGAGCGGTCGAAGCGGCACTCAAACAATACTTTGCCTCACGCCCGGCTGGATTCTACCGCAATGGAATCCATAAATTGAGGGAACGTTGGAGACATGTTGTTGATAATGATGGACAATATAATTAATTATTCGGTTATTTTTTCTTTGAGAAATAAACTATTGAAAAAGTGACAAAGACTTTCCCGCCAACCTAATATTCTAAAAATTCAGAGTCAAAAATCGACTATTTGTTGCTCGAGTTCAGCTAAATCCCGAGAATCCGGAACCCATACACCGAGATCATTTGATATTCTTCTCCTCCGTTCTTCTATGTGCCATCTGTCTTCTTTTCTGTAGTACAATCTTCTCGAAAATTGAAAATATTTCATTTCCGAGTTCAATTTATTTTGGAATCATCACAATGACTCTAATCGGATTAGGAGATATCGTACCAACTAATCTTGTCTGGTTCAGTGCATATTGTGCCTTCTTCTTAATATCTGATGTTCTATCAAATCAGATTTTTTATTTTTGCCAAGTGAGGGATATCGATTTTACTAAAAATGTCTTCATTTTTTTCAGGCTCGGATAAGATTTTTCTTCCATTTCATTGCTCGAAGACTTTTACTCCTCAAAGACGGTGATGACGATTTGCTATCAGAATCTACAGTATCCCTTCAGAATGTTCCAGTAATCAATAGTCAATGTATGCCGAGTCGTAAGTTTATATTCAGAAGTTATTCAAAATTCAGAAATTCCGAAATTCGTAACTTCAGAAATTTAGAATTTTAGAAATTCAGTGTTTTCAGTTGTGATGGAATGCGAGAGGAACGAATTGGACAAAGACGATAAATTGGTATCTTCTCTAACTGCTTTATGAATTTTAATAAAAATTGACAAAGTCTACAATAACCGTACAATTAAAAAACCATAATAAAATGTGAGCTAAAAAAGAAATGTTGAAAGAGAAAATGGGAAATTTGGAATATAAATGAAAGACGATTTTCGATTGTTGATAACCCGTTTAAAAAAGTATTAATCAATATTCAATCACACAGTGTCCACCAAGTTTTGACGTCTTCTAATTGTTTTTCATGTGACATTTGTATCACATCGGATCCAGAATACTCAAATGAAGATCTTCTGACTTCTGCATCTGTATCTTCGTCTTCTTCAACTTCTTCTAGTTCATCATAAGTTCCCATTTGCATTTGGCGAAGTGTGCCACGTCTCTCCTTGATTTTGTCAGCTCCTCGTTTCACACTCTTCTTTTGTGCTTCGGTTACAATCTAGAAACATTTAAATGTTTGAATGTTTGCTGAATGAAAACAAAAACCTCAGTAATGGAATTTCCTCTCGACGCCTTCTTTTTTCCACTTCCTCTTTCTCCTTGTAATGATTCTTCGTCAGGAGATGCTTCTGTTAAAAACACTCCTTTTGTCAATACATCTTGCTGTGGGAAGGCAAATGTTGATCCAATTGAACTCATTTTCCCAAGAGTCTGAAACTCATTCAAAATTTTAGACATGTTCGGTTTTGATTGTTGTTCCTTACATTATTTTGTTTCGCTTTGATATTTTTAAGACAGTGTTCCAGCCATTGTCGAATTGTATGCTTTGCAACCTCTTCTTCAATTATATATTCTAATTCTTCTCTTTGTAACAGTTCTTCCAGTTGAAGATTTTTCCGAATGTCCACACTCCGGTAGGTAACATACTGAAATTTTAGAATATGAAAAAAAAGCTTGGCTCTAGTAGTTTATTTTGGTCGTTAAAATTTTTTCCGCTGTAAACCTTTTTTAGATTTATAGTATTTTTCAGCCTATTATCTTACAAAAGCAGTACCCGAGGCGTCCCCGGCTGGCGCGCCTCCCGCGCGTCTCTGTCGCTCCGCGCTTCCTTTCTGATTTCCTTTTCACGTCAATCTATATTTAATTTTCTTGCGTTTCAAAAATCTCTCTTACGTGAAAGGCGAGATATATGATTGAGGGACACTTCGGGTACTGCCCTTGTAAGATTAAAATCTGGAAATGAATATGAATCTGAAAAATTCTAAGAACCAAACACACAAAGGTTAAAGCTGGATCAACATACTTTAGGACATCATGAAACGATACATCATCTCCATTATGAAGTCTTTCCATTTCATGACACATATGCTTGAATAGAAGTCCATCTGATTCATCAGGTACTTCAAGTCTTCCTCTTAACAATCTCAAAAGAAATTTTACTCTTCTAACCGGAATCGATCGTTTCTGTTCGACATCGACCATATTCCAAATTAATTGGAAGTTTCGAATATCTGCATAAGAGAGTAGTTGATCTTCGACAGACGAATAAAATAGAGAGAAATTCTCCATAATGATAGCTGAAAATTATTTACGGAATAGATTAGTATTTGAAGAAGTTAGCAACGAACCGACAAGAAGATTCAACACGATATAAGTGATAATGAGATAAAAAGAGCAAAAGTAGACAATTGCTCCAACATAATTTCCGCAATCGGTTTGCCAATAACTGAGTCCTGGATGCCAGTTACAGAATGGTGGAGCTCTCATACAGTCATGCATGATATCATTCCAATCCTCTCCAGTTACAGATCGAAATAAGACAACAAGAGCTTCTCGTCCGTTTCGAAAGTTTACATGTCTGAAAATTAGTAAAATTTTACACTACTATCAAAGTGCATTTCTGTATTTTATGACTATATCCCAGGTACTCACTTCCCAACCGCCTGTCCATACTTGACCATTCCAAATAGAACGACTCCGGCATTCGCATAAAAAAGAACCAACAAAAACATTGCAGCAATAATAAACGAAGATCGAACCATCGACATTACAACTGTCAACATCAACATTTTTAGAGTTGATTTTCTCCCGGCTATTGTGAAAAAACGAAGAATGACAACCAGATATCCGTAGGTATATGTTAGACGTTTCCATTCAGATATTCCTCCGGCAAAGTATGCGGGCACTGAACATGTTTCACTTGAATTTGAGATGGTAATGTAGGAGCAAACTCACATTGAAATAGAAAATGAAAAACAATCCAATTGATTCCAAGAACTGTGATGATCAAGTCAATTCGATTTCTTCTTGACTGCCAGAATCCGGAAAGGGTAAATGCAATCATTTTGAGTAAGCATTCCAAAGTGAATAAGATATTAAAAAGAGCAGAAAAGAGAGTACAAGTCAGCAAAGATTTCTTCCGATCTCGTTCTTCACTGACATTCCATGGAATTATCAAAGTCAGTGAATTCAAAACAACGAGAGCCGCGAATGTCTGTTTGAACCATCTGGAAGTCGTCATATCGTACAGATAGCAACGGACTTTTGCAGATTCCGGAGGTTTTGGAGGCACATGGAGAGGTTGTGCCATTTTTAGTCTGGCCTTCAGATCATGCCAACGACGTTGATCGACTGTCAGAAGGGCAGTTCCTCGATTTTCAGTGTAATTTGCAACAACGACTCCGACAAAAAGTGTTAGTCCAATCATGCATCCAATGAAGACGTAGATATGGATGAAGATAACCGCCCACTAAAAAGAAATAAATAATTAGACTGAAAATATGAAGTCACTTATTACAGCTCCATGTCTTATATACAAAACGTCTCTGACAACATTCCATCCCTTATAAGAAAGAGTTTCGAATAGAGCCAACATTGCATTTCCGATATGATCAAAGTTGAAGTTCCTCGGATTGGTCCATACTCGTGGGACAATGATGGATGGATGCATAGCTTCGTTTTTACCGTATACTTCCAATCGAGTCACAAACAATTTCACATCATACAGTCCAGTACAATTCTCACGAGATGTTATGGACAGATCATTGCAAGCTGCCAGTTTTCCACCGACGAGTTGAACTCCAAAACTCGCAAAAATGAACATTAGAACCACGAGCAGAATCGTCACCTGGAAAACTTTTTATAACTGAATATTCAAGCAACACTCACCAATAAAATCTCTCGAAAGCCTCTGCACAACTCCACAACAACTCTTCGAATATGTGGAATCAGTGCATAAACTCTCAACGGACGAGATGCTCGGCATATCATAAGAAGTTGTGCCCAACTGTTGATCTCAATATGAGTTGGCATCCAGATCACAAATATTAGACTTGTCTGGAAAATTTCAGATTTTATAAATCTAACTAATTTAGGAATTTCTAAAACTCACAATGTAAATGAAAATGGTCAAAATGTCTCCAACATCCGTAACCAATGCTTTCGGAGTGAAGAAAAGACCATTAGCGATACATTTCACAGTTAACTCGAAGCTCATGACAAGTACGAATATGTATTCTGCTATCTGAAATTTTATTTTGTCTCTTTTTTGGATTTCCCTCAATAGAAAACCAAACCTGAAGATAGAAATTGTTGAAAATGAGATTCTCTCCAGTTAATGGCCATGGAGATTCCCATAACATACTACAGCACGACAGAGTTGTAACCAAGACCATTGCCCAATCCAGATAGGTTATTATTGCCAAAAGATCACTAAAATTGTCAGAATTGCAACACTAAACACAAAGTGCATACTTACTGAAACTGTTTATATTTATTCGAATTCTTCCGGTGTTGTCCATCATTTTGATCATAAGAATGACGGGAGTGAGCAATCATTTGACACATTCTACGGAGGGAAGATTCTCGACCCACAAGAAATAACGGACGATCGAACATCGGATGATTTTCCCGCATCTCTTCTTCTATGCGGTTTCTAAAATTTTATTTTATTTAACTGGTTCAATTTAATTTTTAAAAAAACCTTGTTATTTCAGCATGAGCTCTTTTCATTTGAAATGCTTTGAAATCAATTTCCCCATGTTTTTCCACTTTTCTTGCTGTATCTTCCGGTCTCAAATCTCCGTTTTCTTTGAAACCCTCCACCATATTCTTCCCTTTCAACGAAGCCAATCCACGAGTTCTTGAACGCGAAGTTGCTGATAGAATTCCACTTTTTCCGTGTTTCGATGATGTATTGCTCCTTGTGAAATTGGCTAAATGCTGATTGGATTCCGAGAAAAGTGCACGATTTCTGTTGGATTCGGTTAGAATTGATGTCAGAATTGTCTTGTTGGATAATTGTCCAACGTGGCGAATTGTAGTTGTTATTCTTGTTTCTTTTGATGGCCCCTTTCCAGATAACATTGAACGAACTGAAATATGATTTTGTTTTTTTGTTTCTGACAATTTCAGAATTTAATTTCTTTAAATTTTCAATTCTCATTTTCAGAATATGAAAATTTCATAAATTCTAAACGGTAAATCTTTTTTAAGCTTAAAAAAATTTGCGGAGTTTTTGAAATATCAGAATCTGGGGAATTCAGAAACCTCAGAATCCAATAATATCAATATATGACAATTTTGAAGTTTCAACACTTCGAAATTTCTGAACTGCAAAAGTTTAGAATTTCGGAATTTCTGAATAGGAGAATCTGAAAATTTGAGATGGTAGTTTGTTTTTTTTAATTTTCGAGAATCTAAGAACCTTCAAATTAGAAATAAAATTATCTAAATTTCAAAGATTCAACTTTTTTAATAAAAATTCAAACCTTAAAATTTTTGAAATTTCAAAGTCTCAATTCTTAAGAAATTTGGAAAAAAACTTCAGAACTTCAGTTTCACTTGAATTTTTTGTAAATATTTTTTTAAATTTATACCTTTGAGGCCTATCTCTTGCATTGGATCTTCACTTGTCTCCACAAATTCATCAGCAAATTGTCTTGTAAATGAGTCTCGAATCTTCGGAAGTGGGAATTCAGAAGACACCTTCTTCATGGTTACCATCGTTGGAGCAGTTGGAAATCGATTGAATATTCGAAGTCGCATTGGGAGTGTCGTTTTTATTGTATCCTGTTCTCTGGCTTTCAGTTGTTTCACTTTTTTCAATTCTTCATCCATTTCCAAATTATCCAAAATGACGGCAACGAATAGCGACAAGACGAACTGAAATTTTTCGCTTTCAAATATATTTTTGAAATTACAAAAAAACTTACCAAAGTAACTAATAAATGATAAGCTACAAAATAAATGGCTACAAATGGAACTGCTTGTTCATTGCAAGCTCTTAGAATTTCAATAACAACATCTGTCCATCCTTCTTGTGTTATTATTTGAAACATGGTCATGAATGCCTAAAAACTGTTTAATTTCCTTTTTTCATATCAGTATAAACAAACCGCTGCGAAATTGGTGAACCTGTTCAGTTTTGGAACATAACAGAATAATTGTAATGAAATTGCCGATGTAACAAGAAGAAGAATTGCGGTGAATATCACAAGACCTCCTAATTTTTTTCCCGGTCCAAAAATCTTGTAGACGAAATCTTCAAGCATCGGAGAAGCTTTGATGAGACGAGCTATTCGAAATACTTGGAAGTATGTGAAAAAGTTTGTTTCGTAAAGAATCCAGATAGCATTCAGACTCGATCCTAAAACATGTTTTGTTAATAAAAATTAAATCTGATAAGAAAAGTTCTTTGGGAATTCGCTGAACATTTCAGTACTTATAGTTTGAAATATTCACTGAAAGGAAAACACGGCGTTTTTGCATAAGCCTAAAAGTTCAAACAAAAAACCAAAACAATTGAAAAAAAAACAATTTATCAGCCAAAAATGTGCAATCGTTCGAAAAGTATATCAGAAGATAGAGAAATATTCAAAAACTAGTTCTGCACTCGAGAACATCCTGGAAAACGAGTTTTATACATCAAAAAAGTTTTTGATCAAAACTTTGCACTGAAAACACTTTGAGAGACGATATTTTGACTTCCATTGAGAACGGCCAAAAATTTTTCCGAATCCGTTTTTAGAATGTTCGAAATACCTTTATACCAATTTTAAGCGAATTCTCAAATGACTTTTTGAAAACGTTCCCTTGTGATACTTACCAACACAAAGCAGGAAATCAAACTTGTGCTGTCCTCTTGAAATGTACGCATTCCATCCAAATGCATAAACTTTGATGGCGACTTCTGTGTTGAACAAAATCGTGAATCCCACTTCGACATAATAATAAAACACTTTTCGAATTTGGTCCGATTCGTCATGATAGAAAACAAATGTTGCATGGAATATTGCATTGGCAAGGATCAGCAGCTGCATGATCGTTTGAAATACAGTTGATGTTACAATCTAAGATCTTATTGACTTTTCTTAATCCATTTCTCAAAAATCTCACCGTATGTAGAAAAAGAGAATTATTCGAATGTGCTCTATTGTACTTGTCAACTTCCACCAACTTCCAGCCATTCTCATCTTTTTCTAACTTCTGCGTAAACGCATGATCCGATGTTGCCTCTCTCGTTTGCCACATTTCTGCAAATCGCACACGAATTTCAGCAAATGTTTCAGTGATGACGGCAATGAACACATTCTGAAAAGTATTTAATTTCTCAAAAAGTTTTTATTATTGTTGATAACCTTAACTAGCCATGCTAGGAAGAATATCAAGGTGACGAAATAGAAGAAAGCCAAAAAGGATGGCATTGAATCAAGACAGTCATAGAGTACATAAACCCATCCTTCCTGACTGGCAGCCAAATAAACTGTAAAAAGAGACGATGCAAAATCACTGAATTGTCCATAGAATCCTTCTGCTTGTGGTTGTAACTCCAATCTCATACAGACCATATTTCCAGGACACTCATATCCACCGGCTCCTTTCTGAGAGCACATTGTATCCGGAATCGCAAGATCAGCAATTGTCACGTTGTGAGGATCTGTTCCATTCACAACACAATGGTAGTTGAGTCTTCCGAATAATTGAACGCCCATGATTGCATACGAGAATACAAAAAACATGAAGAAAATTGTCACATTTTGGATTTGTTGAGATGATCGCCTGAAAGGTTTTTTGACGAAGGCTCTTAACTACAGTAACCATGGGAACTTACTTCATGATTAATTTAATTGTCTTCTTTGGAAGTTTGAATCGAACAATTGAGCGGATGAATCGTAGAAAAATGAAAGATCGGGCTGATCGAAGAGCACCGAACCATGGATAATACTGAAATTTCAATGCAACCTTTTCAAATATAATTTGTTTCAAACTTACAAAAAAATTAAGTGAAGGAAACCATATTGAGCAAAATTCATAAATGTGAATAACACATGATAGAATGTGATTAATAAGAAGAAAGAACTCGAATTGATACCACCGATCCCGTAAATACGAATTTTGATTATCGAACAGACCGTTTTGATTGATTGTGGCAGCTGCTTCTCCAATGAATATCAAGGTTACCAGGATGTCATTCACCAGAATTATATAGTTTAATGGTGGCCACATTTTGATTGTATCTGGTGTGTGTAGACATAGTGATATCATTGATAAAAGACATGCTGCACGGACCATATCTCGTAGGAAACGTTCGTGAAGAAGCTCTGAAAATTTAGAAGAAGTTGAACAAGGAACGAAAATAACAATTGAAAGGAAATAAGCTCAGAACTAGAAAATTTCAAGAGAATTAAACCTAAATTCGTTTTCTAAAGTAGGGTAAAATTGGGTAACCTAGGGTGTTCTATAGTTGTAGAAACATCAGAAACCTATCATTTCTACCAAAAAAAAGAAAAAGAAACAGTGTCAAAAACATAGAGAATTCCATTCAGGATTGACCAAAGTGTGAAACTTTTTTTTCGGTCATTTCTGGCACCTTTTTTGCCGCTTCGTTTGCTTTTTCCACCCATGGGTACCACACACAAATTTGGTGTTTCCTTTTCTCCTCTTCCCAATAAGCACATACACATACATACATACTAACCAATGTTCAATTTAGGATGAAAAAAAAGTTGGAAGAAGAGAAAAAAAACTAGTGAGGGGAGGGGAGGCAAGAGGCGCGAATTTCATTTTATTGCTCATAGTCAACTTCCATTTTCAACGCTTACTTTTTTTTTGTTTCCGGTTTGCACTTTTTGAGGTCATCCAGAAAGATAAAGATGAAACATTTAGAATAAGTTGATGGTTCGGTGGTTTGGGCAAGGCGTTGAAAAGCTACAGTAATCCGCTCAAGAAGTGCGTATTTTACTCAGGTAAATCTGAGGGGGGGGGGGG